TCAACCTCGACCCCAACGCCGGCCGATCCTTTTCCTCCGCCACGTGTGTGCAACACCCTTTCCACCTTCGCCGCGGCAGGCGAGCGACAGCGTTCTCTCTCTCTTGCAAGACGCCGCCGCCATCGGCCTTTCCCGCTACCCCGAGCGTCTCGGCCAGCTCTTCGTGGTGAACGTGCCAGCGGCGGACCGCGCCTCCGGCGGCAGCACCGGCGGCGGCGGCGGCGGCCTGATGCTCGCCGCCCGCGCGCTCGGGCTGGGGGCGGCTCTCGAGGCGGGGAAGCTGAGGGTGCTGCCCGGGGAGCTGCCGAAGTGGGCCCCGGAGCTGCTCAAGGTGGGGGAGACGCGGAGGGAATTTTGTTATTGGGGTTGATGGTGATGTTGATGTTGTTGATGTTGTTGTTGTTGTTGTTGTTATTGTTGTTGCTGTTGTTGTTGGGTGCTGATGTTATTGTTGTTGTCGGTGTTGTTTTCTTGGGGGGGAGAGTGAGGTTGGAGGTGTTACAATATACATCGTTTCGTGAGGATTGATGGAGGACTCGGCAGTCTTGGCGCGCTCCTGGTTTTTTCGTTGGGGCTGCGCTTGGGCGATGGCGCACTCGGCACCTTTCTGCTTTCCCGTCTCAATAACGCGCTTAACCTCGGGGGGCACCGTTCGCCCGACTCCTGCTCTCAGGCTATCCCTCCAGAACACCTCCCAGTGGAGTACGGCGGCACGGCGCCCGCCTTGCCCCGATGGCCCGTCTTGCCGCAACCCTCTACAGCCGATGCTGCTCCGGTGGGCCGACCGGCGGGGGCTACTAGCCCCCTCGCCGGCATCCGAGCAGTACCCGGAGCCCCTGACCCTTGCTCCGCCGGAACCGGTGCCAAGCGGGGGTCGGGCTCACCCGACCGGGGGAACGGGAATCGTGCGACAGCAGGAAGCGGCGTACTCCAACCTCTCCTCTCCCTAGCGAATGGAGGAGCGAGGCCGGGGCGTACGTCTTACACGATCGGGGGCGTGGACGCGATCGCGCTCCTGCTCATCCTGTGGGCGCTGCACCGGGAGAGCCCGCGCCTCGGGGAGACGGCCATGCTTGGCCTGGCGGTCGCCCTCCTTGCGAGGGAGTGCGTCGGGGGCGCGGCCACCCTCCCCTCCGCGAATCGCCGGGTGCCGCTCCTGCACGACCCTCGCGCCCTCGTCGCCGCTGCCGCCGCCGCCGTCGGCGCCGCCGCCTCGCGAAGCAGTAATGTCGCTGGCACCGGGGTGGTGGCCGAGGGAGAGGGTTTCCAAGGAGGAGGCGTTTCCGGACCCAGGGACGGGGACGGGGGGTGGGAGGGAGTGAGCCTGCTCGGCGGGGAGGTGGAGGTGGTGAGGGTCGTGGGGAGGGGGAAGAGCGGCTTCGACCGGTTCTGCGTGAGGGTGGTGGAGGTGGCGTCCCAGTCCCAAAGGGTAGGTAGGCGTTATGGAGACGGAGGGTGGAACGGTTTTTTTTACTTCATGTTTTAGTCCGTGAGTATGTGGTGGTGGGGATGGTGGTGGTGTTGTCCGTGTCTGGTGCCGTTGTTAATACCGCTGCCGGCGCCGGAGCCGGCTTCGGCTCCCGTTGC